TGTATGTTAGTATTCACAATAGCATTACTCATAAGACTGTGTTTACAATCTGAATGCTCATTAACTAGTGAATAAGCAAAATGAGCTACATTCATAAAATGAAGTCCAAAAATTAAAGAATTTACTACAGGTACCTGCTACAATGCAGATGAACCTCAAGGACATTATGCCAAGAGAAAGACACAGATGCAATATATATCTGTAGATAGATAGATTAGATAGATAGATAGATAGATAGATAGATAGATAGATAGATAGATAGATAGAATGAGTCAGTTTAAATGAAATTTCTAGAAATTAAAATTTTATGGCGGCAGAAAACAGATCCTAAGGCTGGGAATTGTTAAGTGTCATTGAGTTGGTTCTGATTCATAGTGACCCTATATAGATTGTTTCCAAGGAGTGGTTGGTGGGTTTGAACAGCCGACCTTGTGGTTAGCAGTCCAGTGCCGATCCTACAGCACCACACCAGGACTCAAGGTTGGGAGTGGGAAAAGAAATTAGTCACAATGGTTAAGAGGTAAAATTTTAGAATGTTCTAGAATTAGATTGTGATGATGCTTTCCCAAGTATATATAATTTACTGAATTCACTGAATTGTACATTTACAATGGGTGGATTTTATGGTGTGTACATTAAACCTTAATAGCTATTTCTTAAAAGTGATACAACAGAATGACAATTTTGAAGCTCGGGCTGACAGCCACTCGTTTCATTTAATTTCCAATACAATGATTTCTAATATGCTATTAGAAAAATATTTATTAGCATTTTCTTGAAAACATGGTACTTTCAAAGGATTCCAAGGACATACATCTCTAAACCTTACTGATCAGATATTACCCTTAGCTCTGCATCATTTAATCACATGACAAAGTCTATCCCTACTTACATTATTGTCCTTTACATCTTTTATTAACTTGGGTTTCCTGTAAACTGAGGCCCTGTGCCCACATTTTCTATTCATTTTCTTAGATTTTATAGCTGAAAAATAAAAATTTGAATATTTATAGCAAGCATGCATTTATACATATATACATTCTAAATATAAAATATCTTGTTTTCTTCTGTTTGATCACTCACATGCTACCCCTCCCTGGTAACATTGTTTCAAACCAAGCTTTGCTTTCACTATGTTGCTTCAAATGTCTCCTTTGCTCTGAATTTTTTTTGATGGATTTTTCTTTTCACAGCAGAGCTGTCATCTAAGCTCAGGCAGCCTTTAATTTGGGTAAAATTCCATCTCTGTCCATTTCACTGAAAGACTTACCAAGAGGCAATGTTCCTTCTAAAACAGCCATTTAAAAAGTTTTAACATAATTATCATCCCCCCAAACCTCATACAATACACCAATAGCTCACAACAGGTAAATGAGAAAACTACAGATGACCAGAAAGAGGCCCACCCTCATGAATTATAGCAGCTCCCAAGATGCAGTTTGAAAACTAATGCTCTAAACAAGAAGATGCTTTGTTTGTTGCGCAACACAACAAAAAATAAACTGAGAATATTTAATCAAACAATACTTGCAAAAGAAGAGAAACTTGGGTATACTTAATTTTAAAGTCACATTAAAGGAAAAAATTCTCAATTTTAAAAAATGAATAATTACAAAATAGTTCCCTAAGTAATTCCCCTTTAAAATATAACTCCATAAATAAAGATATTACTTTATAGGAATGCTGTCTACTACAAAGGGTGTGCATCTTTCATTATAATTCCCTTATTTATAACAAAGTTTTAAAAAACATAACAACCAAGAAGTTAAAGGCCACATTAACAGAAAACACAGAGCCTAGTGGAAAGATTTCAAATAAATGTGCTGATCAGCAGGAAATGCCACTAACCCAACAAGCAGTAAAGAAAAGATAGCAAGAAGGTTCTGGTAAAACCATTTACATAACTGTATTTAGGAGTTAAAAAAAAAAAACAAAAAACCCACGATTTGCCTCCAGAATCAGGTACAAATCAAGCAAATATTCAGCCCAAATGACAACAAATAGTCAAGATAAAGCTGGCAAAGTGGAATTTGTACTAGTAGGAATTTTCAAACGTATCTTAACTACAAAATATAAACCATTTCCCATCAGATATCAAAGATAAAAAGTATCATGATGTATATAATTTGATATTTCTATGAAACAAATTATTGCTATATGAGTGTAAAAATGGAGGCAATAAAGATTTTAGAAATACACTCAAGTTTATAATCAACTAAATGATGAGCCATAGTTTGAACCCTATTTATCAATCACATTATGTAAAAATCATAATTCAGGTATTGTGTCTTCAGTTATTAAGATGTAAGTTAAATATTTCACATTTTAAAAATGATTATCATTACATTATCAAATTTGATAAAATATTATCAAAACATCTAAGTATTCAATATAAATCATATTGTTAAAAGTGTAAAATAACATTTAAAGAAAATCTTGGGTGTCAGATGTCTTTTCTATTAAGTATATACAATTTAACATTTAGAACTACATAAATTAATAATTGTCACTAAAAGTTGATTCATTTTTATAAAGGCATACTTTGTGGACTATATACAATCCCACCACTTTCCTTTTTTTAATTCCAAAATGTTTTCATTAGGTTTGACTTTCTCATGTCATTCATATGTGAAAGTTACAGAAGTTTTATACAATATGTAGTCTAATAGTAACATGTTTAAGATTCTAACACAAAGTGCATATTAAGCTACTTAAATTTCTTGATTATGGTAAATAAAAATAAATGAACATTTCATTCACTTAAATCTTTCTGAGGGAAAAAAAAATAGCTAGCACGCCTTACTCTTAAATAAGAATTTTCCAGTAAGGATAAATATATAAAAGATTTTCCATGTTATTTTATTAAGTTTATGTTCTCTCATTAAAACTTTTTAAAAGTCTAATGAAGGGCACAAACTTACAATGCCATAACACACAACTACAATATTGTTAATTAAATAAAGCAGCCCAGTTTAAGTTGTAAACATTTTAAATGTGGTAAACAAGGTTTGGCATGTCTTTTCGCCCCAAAACTTGCCATTACAATGTTCCATCAATTATTTTTCTTCCTGGAAAAGTTTTCAGGTGTATTTTAGTATTTAAAATTAGTACACTGAAATAATATGTGAAAAGATTTACTCATGGCAATTTCACTGAAGCTTTTATTGCCTCTGTTGGTAATATGACAGGGATTGTAAGAAACACAATTGAACTTACAGAGATAATGCAGATGATATGCAATAAAGATAATCTTGATCTCAACTATTTTTATATGTGGGCACTTCTAATTTTATACATTTTACTATTAAAAAAAAATGACAGTTTTAAAGGTGTACCTGTTTTGACATTTGGCAAAAGGAAACTGTACCTGTGGTTCAGTTGGAAACAGAATCTGCATAGGGGGTTTACCAGGATGAAGACTGAAACTCTCAAGAATTAAAGCAACCCATGTTAGGTGTGTCTGTCTTCTACATTCTCTCTCATAAACACACATTTACACACATTCACAAACACACAGAGAAAGACACACACACATGGCCATATGTATAACCATTTTTTAGTCACCAAGCATTTATCTGCAGAGTAATCACATTGTGTTAAATCAGTCTTCTCTTGTCAGCCCTAGTATGAGTTTTGTTTCATTCGAAGATGCCACCCTAGAGTGAACAAGCTTAATTTTTATGCTACATAATTATATTCAAAAGCTTTATGTATTTTTGTTTATAATTACACAGTAATTATAAATGTTTAGTACCAAACTGATGACAAACACTATTTTGTTGAAAAGGTCTTGCATTTAAAAGGAAAAAAATCTTTAAAACTCCAAGGCACTGGGCCACCAATCAATATCAAACTTTTATGAAAAACAATTCATATTGGGAGGAAAAAATAGCTAATGGGATGTCATTCAAAAACACAGCATACCTGAATTAATCAAAAAAAAAACAATACTATTAACTCAAAATCTTCAAGACAAGAAAGAAAACAGTCTGTCCATACATCCGTCCATACACACACACATACACACACATATATATATATAGATATATATATATATACCTTTTAAATTTTTTTCATAATTGAAGTTCCTCTTTTTATTTACAAAAGTGAATTCAGGAAATACTGAAAGCAGCAGGATTCTCCTTTTTTCTTCCTTCCTTCCTTCTTTTTCTTTCTTTCTTTCTTTTTACAACCAATTTCAGTAACCTGATTAGAAATTTTCAAATTTTTCCTTTTGGTAGGATTATATTCCTGAATTAAAGGTATGATTGGAATATTATCTATAGGGAAGACTTTCTAGTCCATTCCAAAATCACATAGGTAAAAAGCAATTTCAATATGCCATTGCTTTTTAAAATCATTTCCATATTAGCATAAATGTTTTATCATTCTCAAGCATATTCCTTTGCTAATTTAAACACTAGACCTTCAAGAATGCCTGGATATACCAAGCAAAATCTATTCCTATCATCTAGCATTTGAATTTTAACATTTCTTAACTTGCCTCATGGAAATGATTAAGAAAGCAAAAACCCCTTCTTCACATATCAGTAAGTGAACACAAAATGAGCATTTTCAGCGCAAAAGCAGCTCATGGGTCTCATAATGATAAAAATACAAGGTAACATTCTGCTTTGATGTGAAAATTGAGCTAATTTGAATGAAACTAAAACAATTATAAGAGATTAAATAATTTATGAAAACAGAAGCCAGATTGGTATTTTGCATGAAGTGCTTGCTTGCTTGAAAATCTTTGCTACTGAAGTACGTATTTGGCAACCATAGTGATTAAAGCCATTTCAACAAAATAACAAGTCATCAAATACGAACTACTTGAAAGAGCAGTACCTATGTTATAAAGATTGAACTTCCTGGCTCATCACAATAATTTTCAAAAGTTAATTCCTACTATCGTCTTATAAATTAAGGGAATCTTATTTGTGTTCCATAGTGTGATGACCAAAAGCAAAACCAAAAAAAAAAAAAAAAATCCTCATGCCTAAATTTAGGATATTGTATTGTGTAGCAATCTAAAACATTCAAGGCAAATTAAATAGTTTAACTTATTTGACAGCATATAAGCATCTCAAAATCATAATGAAATCCAATCATGTAATGCATAATGTAGAAAGGAGGGTCTAACATTATGCGGGCATTTTCTAAATAAAAGCTCCCTGGAGAACAACTATATATAAACATGGGTAAAAGAAGCTCTGTGGAACCTTTTTAAAATCATGGGTCTGAAGCACAATAAATTTTCAAGGTAGGCACCAAGTTATCCTCTAAAATTTTTTTCCCATCAGTTATTTTGACATTTTTTCCCATCAGATACTCTATTCACATCAATAATACATGTGATTTGCCCAAAACAAAACAAAAATCCCCCAAACCAAAACACCATTTCAGATCTGGTACACTTAAATAGATCACGCTCATTGGAAGTGCTATTAGCATAGTCTTTGCAACTAGCCCAAAGCATATATTTAAGAAGTTTTTATAAATTGTTTGTGATGTTCATGTTTAATTCTTATGCCAAACTGTTTTCTGATGAAGACAGCATTGTGCTTTATGCGAGAATGGAAAACTCAAAATAATCACCATAAAGCTTCTAAGACTTATGGGAGAATAAACTAGGATGGTCCACAGATATAAGATGAACTCCACAATGTTGGAATTATAAATGTTTAGAGCGGCCCAGACTAGAAGACAAGCCCAAACCACCATTAGAAGAATGAAATACGATATGGTCCAAGATGTATCCTTAAAGTTTTGTCTCAACCCTCACACCGAATTATGAGGATTGATCTTCAGTTCAGTCCAGCCAGCAGAAATTGACTGTGCAATTTTCCGTTGTATTTATTGTACAGACTATGTACATTCTAGGAAGTTCCTTTAGTGCTACACTGTTGTACTTTTTGTCCCAGCAATTTGAGGGCGTGCAAATTCCACAAAGTCATCAATAAGAACAGGCCATGCTCCTGGAAAAAAGAAAGAAATATGGGAGAAAATAGAGAAAAAGTAGAAATAAAGCTAATATTTTAATTGGACCTTATTTTAATATATAAGTACATCATTTTTATCTATTTTTACTAATAGAGTTCTAAAATCCAGGCTTTTTAGAGTTTCTACCCAAAATATTCCTTGCATTTGCTCTTCTATATTTAGTCGATGTTTGGTCTTGAGTAATAAAATTTTTTGGCAATCAACCAATAGCCATTGCGCTTTTCCACAGGCCAAGGAAAGAACTTCAATAAAAGATCAAAACTGGTTGCCTATGATATGATGGCAATGCTGTCTGTGTTGAAAACAAACTAGGGAAAACAAGTTTCCAGGCATTTTGTGGCAATTTTTTTTTAATAAGTTTTTATTGTGAAGTTTACATGGAAGAATATGAGTTTTACATTTACCCTATCGTATTTTGCTTCATTGCAATGATTACAATCTCTTATGCATCATCAAATAACCAAAGGGTACACCCCACAGGTCCATCCCCTGGCTGTCAGCAGACAGCCGCTTTCCCTCCCTGAGTCCCGTGTCCCCAGCTACTCCATCAGTCCACATCATCATCTCTGTCTCCAACCCTGGCTCTCTGCCTCTCTGGGTAGGGTCCTACTCTCCGGTCTTTTCACTTGATGGTCCCAAGGACCTCCATTTCTGGGCTGCAAAATCAATCTATTCCCTCCTTTTGTCCAAAAATATCTACCTCTATATTTCCTACCCTCACAGTCAGTCCTGATGGCAATTATTCTTTATAGCAATCTTACAAAGAAAACTAACAGCAAGCATCAAACTCCATCTTATTTCATGATAATAATTGATTGATTATGTGTGTGGAGTCGGTTTCAACTCACAGCGACCCTGCATAGGGTTTCAGAGACTGTAAATCTTTACAGGAGCAGAAAGCATCATCTTTCTCCCGCAGAATGGTGGGTAGTTTTAAACTGCTTACCTTGAGATTAGTAGCCTGGCTCTGAGCCACAATGCTACCAGAGTGCCTTATTTCATGGTAACAGATGACTAAAAGATTTTCAAGTATATAAACGCATGCCTCTGCACATCAACATGCCAGCCTCCAAGTCAGAACAGTTTTCCACTATCAGTCATAGAAAAGAGTAAATATCTCTAATTGTTTGGTGAAGGCTATAAATGACAACGAAAAAAGGGAGGATAACACATCATCCCTGGTTAGCTTACAGGATTCCAGGATACATTTTTGTTTTTGTTTTTGTTTTTTCAGGGGTGGATAGGAGTAAGGAATAATGGTTAGGGTTGGGACTATGATTTAGTTTAGTGTTATAACTATGGTGAAGACTCGGGGTTTAGTGTTAAGAGGTGAGGGTTGGGGGCAGCTAGAAGTAAGGCCTGGTCTAATTTTTAGGGTTACAGTTAGATTTCAAGGGGGAAAAAAAAAAGCAAAAATTAACCTATTTGATTTCCTCTTCATTTAAAAGTTCTGTAACTGAACTTTATTATTTTATAATAAAAAATTATTCCCTTCTTACTTTATGAGATTTTTTGGTTACTGTTGCCATTGTATTTCTTGTTCTCTATTTTCATCTGGGTTGAGTCTAGGTGATACTGAAATGTGTATTAGTCTCAGGTTGCTGTCTGCTGTTGTTGGTTCTCTGTCCAAAGAATTCCATTTACTATTTTTTTCTAAGGTTGGTCTGGTTTTTACAAATTCTTTCAATTTCTGTCTAAAAAATGACCTAATTTTGCCATCATAGTTGACAGTTTTGCTGGATATATGATTCTTGGATGACAGTTTGTTTCAGAGTTTTATATGTGTCTTCTTGCCTACATAGTTTCTACTGAGAAATTAGCATTATTATTTCTCCTTTGCAGGGAAACTTTTCGCTTTTCCTGAGCTGCTCTTAAGATTCTTTTCTTGTCTTTGGTTTTCAAAAGTTTGATTATAAAATGTCTTGGTGTTTTTCTTTTGGGGGTTCTATCCTGTTTGGAGTTTGTTCAACTTCTTGAATGGTTATCTTTTCATCTTTCACAATGCTAGGGAAGTTTTCATCTAACAACTTTTGGACAGTATTCCCTGTGGGTTTCTTTTGTCTCTTCCTGTTCTGGAATTTCTATCAAACGTATATTAACCCTCTTGCTAGTACCCCACATAAATCTTAAGTTTTCTTCAAATTACTTTTTTTTTTCCTGGCTGTTCCTCAAGCAGATGAATATTGAAAAATATTTCTTCAAACTCAATTCAGGTTTCCATTGATCCAATTCTATTTGTTCACCCTTTTAGATTATTTTCTATTTCTGAAGTTCTATTTGCTGTTTTTGTATGGTTCCCATTTATCAAATTGTCAGTTTGTTTCCTGAATATCTTCACAGTTTTGTTTTCCTTGATCTCATCTGCAGTTTTCTCAATCATTCCCTCAATCCACTGAAGTTGCCTAACTAGCATTCTATGAAATTCCTTATCAGGTAGTTGTGATAGCATTTCTGGTGTCATATTTCTGACTGCATTTGGTCACTTGTTTTGAGGCACTGGGTCTTATTTCTGTTTGTAAACTGAAATTGTCTGTTTTCTCAGTGATATTGTGGTGTTGTATTCATATTTGATGATTATGTTGTTGTTGCCATTAAGTGCTGCTGAGCTGGCTCCAAAACATAGTGACTCTACATAGAGTTTCCGAGGAGTGGATGGTGAGCTTCAATCACCGGCCTTGTGGTTCAACCCGATTTTGCAGTCAAGTTCATTAACCCACAATGCCACACCAGGGCTCCTTGAAGATTATATATTGGTCTGTTCTCAGACACTCACTACCTGTCCCCTGGTGGGTGTGGTAGAGACTGGAAATGTGAACAAGGTTAGTTCTTTGTTCACTGCTTATGTACAGAAGTTCAGGACGGGTTCACATACCTCTAGAGCAGGAGTGCTATGCCAGCACTCAACCCAGGCAGCAGAGGCTGCATAGGATGGGGTGTTATTGGTGGCTGAGTTGGAGACAGTGGAGACTGGCAGTATACCAAGAAGGTACAGAAGGAAGGTAAACTTGCCCTCCCCCACCCTGCTGTTATCAACAACTGTTCACAAAAGCACCACTCCATGCTAGCCCAGGGTCACCTGTTTCTCCTCTCTCCCACTGCTCCTTTTCAGTTTCCCCTTCTAGTCTGCACTCAGTCCACCTCTCTGACCTATCCACTGATGCTCAGGGTTCCAGGATCACCATCTGTACTGTTTTACTCGGTCTCCCATGTCTTTCTTGCAGACGGTTGCCTCAGTCAACTGCTTATTTCACCATCTTGCCAGGAAACCTCCAAGATACTTTTTAGGAGGTCATAGTCACTGTAGATTTTTCACAGAAAATCTCTTGACTATTCAACGATCTCAAAAATTTATCCTGCTAGTACTCAAGAGGAACCAATGTGTGTGGATAAGGATGAAAGTCACTGTCACTTTTGGAAAAACAAAAGTGCATGTCCTTTTCCCCATTCTCATATAGCCAAATTATTTTTGACAAAGTGCCTGGGCATATTGCATGAGAAGGAGATAGTCTCTTTAACAAATGGTGCTGCTAGAACTAGAAAGCAATATGCAAAAGAATGCAACAAGATCTTTACCTCTGGATTAAAGACCTAAATGTGAAACCCAAAATTATGAAGACCATCAATGAAAAAACAGGGACAAATGTGAGGGCACTAATTCAGGGCATATACAGACTACCAAACATTTTGAAAAGTATACAAACAAAAGGAGGCAAAATAGATGAGTGGGACATACTAAAAATTAAAAGCTTATGTGCA